AAAAAGGGAATGGTGTGTCTCTATTCGATTCATACACTCAAGGAAAATTCTTGCCTTGATTATATTTGATGATTATCTCTAATTATTTCATCAAGGTATTTATCTATAAGTACAAAGCTTGCTTAATTAAGATTAATTCCTTAATTAAGTTGAGCTGAGAGTTGTGTCTTCTAGCCCCTTGAGAAAATGGGATGAAATTTCTTTGAAATCGGCCAATTCAAGAAATAGAAAAATGGGATTTATCCGTACACGTTGGTGGATAAAGTCTTGTTTGAAAAAACACTAGTTAATCATAAACTTAGTCCATGTAGTTTATCAAAATCAATTAATTAATCCTCATAGTTTTGGAAATCAAATATTTAATCTCTTAAATCCATTCATAAATTAATCATTTTCATCTATTTCAAAATTAACTCTTAACTTACTTTTTTTAAAATTCAAAATTAACTCTTAACTTACTTTTTTTTTTTAAAAATAGAACAAGGAAACAAGTAAGTGGGCAACATGGAAAGATTAAGTACAACCACTACTAATCAAGAGATTATTTAATTGATTTTGATACTACAAGAATTAATTATTATATTTCGATAAAGTTATAATTAATTTGATAAAAAAAACAACGTGACTTTTCAAGCTGAGATGGATTTAAAGACCTGGCCTAGACGGGAATCGGAAGGGCATATTTTGATTTTAGACTAGAAAAATCATGTCCAAGTCTTTTGCTTTTGCGTACAAACTAGAAAGAGCAATTAATTATGAAGATTCTTGCTGGTCAGTGATGGAGATGCTGGGGAACCAGGATGGAAGGAAGGTTGGCGTTAGATATATAGCAAGACAAATACAACGACTATCTAATCAAATGACTTTGACTAAGACATGGTCTTAGCTTTCGTTTTAAACATTTCCCTAATTTGTTACAAAATTCTATTAAAAAAATGATAATTTAATGTCTAATCAAATTGTTGCAGCTCTTTGAAATTCATAAGAGTTCATTTTACATGATTCATAAATAAATTAAAATGCTTTAAATTGAAAGTGCAATTTTTTTAAGGAAAAGATGAAGGCCAAGTAATCCACAAATTATGGATTTTGATTAAATAAAAAATCTGACCCAATTTTTTTTATTTTAATTAAAAAAAATATTATTTATAACCAATCATATTTATAATTTCTCTATAAAAAATAGCTTAAATTGAAATTTGCAAAAGTCATGTATGTCCCAAACATATTAACACAACAAACACAAACTAAATCTATTCCAATACCTATTTAATATATATCCTTGAATTCAATATTGTGACGACTTTAAAATTTTAAGGAGATAAAAAAAAAAGATATTTGACTTTTTGTTTTTAAAGAGAAAAAGGTTTAGTTTAAAAAGTTGTTACCTAATATTATAATAAGTAGAAATCCTAACTGATCAATAAAATTTTTATGATATATGACTAATTATATATAAAAAAAGATACTATTATCCTTTAAATATCATATATGAAATAAGCTATATCACTGATTCTGTTTTAAATTGCTAAAGATTTGTTATATATGCTATAAATAGTCTATTTATAATATTTATGATTTTAATATCAATGAATATTCAACTTCAAATACTTTAGTTCTAGTATTGATAATTATTACATGATTAAAAAATAAATTAAAATAATAAGTGAAAGTGAAATTTTTCTTAAAAAATAGATGCAGGACAAGTAATCCATAAATTATAGATTTTGATTAAATAAACAATCTGACTTTTGATTTTAATAAAAAAATATTATTTTTAATAAATCATATTTATAATTTCTCTATAAAATCCGAAGTTAAAAAATAACTTTGATTGAAATTTGCAGAAGTCATATATATACCAAACTTGTTAACACAACAAACAGAAACTAAATCTATTCCATTTGCTTAATATATATAACAATAAATTCTATTATTTTGTGTTATCTAATCCTTGTGACTGCATGAACTCTTTAACTTGTAATTACCGCATGCAGAAATGTGGTAATCGTCATGCAATACTATTATTGTTCAAGGCCTTTTGTAATTGTTGAAAATCTCGGAGATGATGCTCGAAACATGGAGGCCGCTGGTAGATGACAGAGGCTGCTTCAATAAGAATGCTTGCTGTTAAGCCCCATATGAGAAAAACTCCTTTCTCGGATTCAAAATCGAAGAGATGGAGAGAATAGTTCCAACCCATCCATTCCTTCTCTTCCCATCGATGATTTTCTTCCTATATGGAAAAACAGAAAGTGTTGAGCACCATTAAGCACAACTAATATGCTCATTTTTCTCAAATTAAGATGAAGATGTTTAACAGAAATTCTCCAATTCACTCCAGAAAAATATCAAATACCAACAAAAAAAAATGATATTTACAGATGTTTAACAGAAATTCTCCAATTCACTCTAGAAAACTATCAAATACCAACAAAAAAAAATATTGATAAATTACAATGATATTTACGGATAAAAAATCACTTTGATATTTCCGTTGGTGAATACCTGTGGAATTCCTGGTGGAATTCAAAGAATAAAAAAAATTGAACAAATATTCTCTCGTTAATTCCGTCGGCATCTAATGTATCAATATTTCAAATGGAATTATCGATGATAATTTGCCTATCTATACCATATGAAAAATAACAAGATCTTATAAGTATAGAAAGAAATAAAAAGAATTTTTTTGTTGGTAGAGTTGAAAAGAATATTATTGCACTATTGGTAGTGTCAATGAAAAATTATATGATGTGGTATCGCAATATAAGAGCATTGTGTTTGATTTTTAATCTAGTAAGTAGAAGTTTCCTGATTTTAATGTAACACACAATTGGATAATTTTTTTTTGGAAGCTTTCTTATTTAAAGACTAATCGCTTCTGTGATAATTCGGATGTTATGTGTGTGTGTATATATATATATATATAAACATGTTTAAAAACACTTTAATATGGTGATGAATGAGAAAGGAAAGATAAAGGACAATATAAAAGATAGAATGAATATATCTTTTGTTTTTCATCATAAAAATATGAAGTTATTTTATGATAGGTCATGAGTCACAAAACTCAAAGTCAATTTTATTTTAGATAAGAATACACATTTACTCGTTTACTAATGACTTAAGATTTTCTTGATAAATGTGCTTCAAACATATCTAAATTGATGAATTTAAAGGATGACAGATTGTATGGAATGAAGAGTTATAACTGCTATATATTTATGTTAACACTATTTCCATTTATTTTCAGGGATTTATTTTCAAAATAGATATGAGATGCACTTGTAAAGATTAATAATTTTTTTAGAAATGTGTGCTATAACAAGTTGCATACCAAACATGTGGAAAAGCTTGAAATGAATATTTTTCAAACAATTTACAAACTCGAGATGATATTTCTCCATCATTTTTCAACTCAATTGGGCATCTTCTCATATATTTATTGTTTGAGGTAAAAGTTGGAGTTCCTATCCATGTATCTATTTGAGAGGTTAAGAATTACATATACATCATAAGTAAATTTTTATCGTTTGTTTTCCTTTAAAAAATAAAATATTCAATATTCAATCTATGCAAATACTTGTTCAACTTAAAAAAAAAAGAGAGTTAAAAATAAGATGCATGTTGATGTTTTGATATGCGAGATTTATATTTAATATATATCTTATACTATTTTAAGCTTTACTTAAGAAAAAGAATCAATCGCATTCCAAGCTAAGATGATGGTGTGAAAATACATTTTATATGAGAATTTGTCAATATTTTTCTATCCTGGATGACTTTTATCCAAAAATATAGTAAGGAGAAGATACTTGATAGAAATTAAATTTAAATATGTAAATAATTATATGTAATTTAGTTGCGATGAATTGAGACCTTTTATTCAATAATTGTAATATTAACATATTGTTATCTTTTAAAAAACTTTTTTCTTATACTCTTATATAAACTGATAGATTAAATAATTTCTTATAGGTAATATTGTTAATTTTTACTATCCTAAAATTCACATATAAATAAATTTTAAAATTCTCAATTACAAGATGAATAATTTATCACGCGGTTTAAAACTCATATCAACAGTACTTAATACCTCTTAACTCCCATAATATTAAATTTATTACCTTCCCCTTTAATTGTTAGTGGTTCATGTACCAAAATTATCAAATAAGTGGTAATGCTTGTGATAATTTGAATGTGATATGTTTAAGTTTAAAAGAAAGATAAGTGTTATAATGAGTTTTTTTAAATGAATATGTCTCTCATAGTTTTCATAACTCAAATTCTAAACCCTTAATTTTTGTATTTATTTCAAAAAATCCAAAAAATATTTCTTCAATAAATTTAGTTATTGTGTTATTTTCATCATTTTTAGGTATTAAAAATAATCATAAATAAATAAAAAATAAAAAATATAACTGGGGTTGAAATTGAACCATTAATTGAGTATCACAGGAAAAAATTAAGTTTGAGAATTTTTGGTACATAATGGAGGTTTCAATTGAAGAGAAATTTAGAAAATAGCTTAATTTGGTTAATATTGAAAGAAATTTGAAGTTTAAGGATGATTTTGAAACAAATAGCCAAGTTAGAGATCAATGAAGAGTTTAATTGAAAAAGTAATTTGAAATCAACAATCAATTTGATTTAAAAATGAAGAACAAAGGATGAATTTGCATCAAATAGTTAAATTCAATGAACAAATTGATATCATTAGGAACATAATAATAAAAAATATATGAATTCAGAATTTTTGGAAAATAAAAATAAATTGGAATTGAAAAAATCAATTAATTTTAAATTGAAAGAAATCTCAAGATTAAATATCTTAATTGAATGAAATTGAAAAACTAAAAAGACAAGGACTGTATGATAAAATATTAATAGGACCACTTGAATTTTTATTTAATTTAATTTCAGTTCCGTTTGTTTTCATTTCAATTAATTCAATTCAATTCAATTAATTCTATTTCAGTTGAATTGAATTGAATTAAATTCAAACCAACTCATTTATTTCATTTCAATTGATTTAGTCCAAATTAATTCAATTTAGTTTAGATTCCAATTGAATCAAGAAACTTAGCTATTAAACTAGATTTTAAATATCCCTACTTCATCTCTCAAATCCCATAATTCTAGCCCAAAATCTTCAATCAAGACCCGAAATCAAATCCTAAATTATTCCCACAAGCCTCGCCTTTGATGGGCTTCAAAAGCCTGCAACAAAGAGAGAACTCGGGAGGAACAAGAGTGGAGGAACGAAAAAACCAGAGGGAGCCTCTGTTTCATGGATTAAAAAAATACTGAAGAGTAGGCTTAAACCCTTAATGCCCTCCTTCAACACCACCATCTTCATCACACTCACGACAGCCTCTCTTCCAGTAATAGCCTCCATAAAAGAAAACAACAAAACAAAACCTGATCAACCCAAATCTTAGTCATTAAAAAATAATAATTCAGACTAGTAGCCGCTTGTTCTCCCTCTCTCACAGACAGTGCTCATACCCCCAAAATCATAAAGTCAAGTCATTGTTTATCTTCCTCCTCCGCCGTTGCTCCTTTTTTATCCCAGTTTAGCCACCACCACGTCCAACAGTCTCACCATCACAAACCCACAGTAAAAAACATACACCCATCAACACTTAAAATGTCCACCATCCCTAAGCCAAAAAACCAAGCACCTCCATCTTGAGCTATACCAACTCTTCTACTCGAGACCACTCGCTCACAGCCACCGAGACTTCCACATTTGTCACCCCCTCTTCAACTGATGAACAACGTCCCTGTTTTAATTGTATTGTTTGTTTTAACTTTTTTCTAAATAACTACATATAATATGTACAGAATTATTGTCGGAATGTGAAATACAATTACCATCGGACTTGATTTCTTGAAGGGTTTCAAAGCATTCAAAAAAATTTACAGGAATTGTCACTGTTGATGTAATTTTTTTATAAATTAATTCTTATAATTACCAATGAATTTACCTTTGATTTATCTCATTGATAATTTGCAATAATTACTATAGATTTACCGACAAAATTATTACTAGTTAATTTTTTTTGTTTGAGACGTTATTAATTTAAACTGAAAATTTATTAATGATTATATTTTTAATAGAAAATAAATCACCCACAATATGTTTTCTACCAATATTTTACCGTTTGTTATTAATTGTAATTCTGATGAAATCAGACTTTAATCAGCGATGAAATATTTCTTATTTCTTTCTTGTTTTGCTATTTTCTAGTAGTGATTATGTGTTTTGCATTTGTCAAATATTGTTCGTGCATGCAACTTTTGAAAAATAAAAGATTGAGGTATGGAGAGGGTCTGAAAACCTTGAGAAACATTTCCAGTGGGACATCAAAAAGAGTGTCAACTTCGTCCGTATTTAGTACAGGCTTGAAGTCTTCTACCCTGGCTAGCAGCCCTACCACAGGAACAACCTTCAGCTGGTGCTGCATGAAGAACACTGGTTCGATCAGGATCATCAGATAGTTTGAGTCATATAAATTACCAAGAGGAAATTATACATCACTACATATATACCTGGGAAATAAAGGGCTCTAAGTTTGCCACAACTTGAACAAGATGAGGATCCAAACCTATCTCTTCCATGGCTTCCCTTAATGCAGTTGCAGAGTCATCTACATCTCCTTCTTCCATCTTCCCACCCGGCAATGCTACATCTCCTGCTTCTTGCAAATAATAATAATAATTTAGGAGTCCCTTAATTATTTTTTGATCAAAATTTTTTTTAGAAAATGTTTTACCTCTTCTGTCATTTTTATAGTTTGCTAATGTTTAGCTCTTTTGTACTCTACTTCTGTTCTACTAATAATCTGATTCATAAAAGAAATTGTTTTTTGGCAGAACTCATATCTAGTGAGATAGGGAAGTAGGAAAAATCATACAAGTGATGGAATTAAATCATTGTAATTAAAATAAAATTACCTTTTAGTGTAATTTGTCTAAAAAAAATTATAAAAATAAATGCCATGGTAGATACACATTATAATACTATTTCATAATTGTCATCATTATATATTTTATTATTATTTGTCTTAATTTTTGTGGAAATTGTGATATATTTTTCCCAATATATGTTAGATATAAATTTAACATTTGAAGTTATATCATAATTCCAACTAAAACTAATATAATGTACTTCAAAGTTAAATAAATGCAGCTAAACATGTATAATAAAAATAAATACTTGAAATACTACTATATATAACATGTATTTCTAATTACGTTTACTCAAAATGTTGACATAATTATCGAATAATTGTCACTAGATTCTATCTTGTAGAAGTGTGTGTACGAAGCTAAACGAAGTGAGATTTCAACTGAAGAGAATTAATCCACTCAAGAACCAATTTTATGTAGTAGTACTTGTAAACCTAGGTCAATTATACTTTTTTTTCATTAATTACCATATCTATTTTAAGCATTTTTTTCAGGGAATTCTTGTTGGAAAATCATTTGTGCCGGAGAAAAGCAGTCACCATATATATAATCTTGGTGTTGATGAGCCTCCCCATCATGATACTTAAATCAGTAGCCTTGCAAAATTATGTTATGGAACTGTAGTCTCCCTCCTTTAATCCTTTTTCTCCCTAGCAATTGAATCCTTTTATTGTTCGAATCCTCTTGTGAAAGAGACACACCAGCAGTATCCCACTATAATTAGACAAACCAATTAAATTTTGGCATTCGATAATCTATTTCAGCCCTATTTGCTCCCTAATGATGGTTGGTGTAGCAGTGGAGAAAATCTTTGTGAAAAATAATGCTTGCCAAGTGTAAATTACAACTTATAATTTATATAAAACTCAAAATACTTGGAAGTTTTCAATTCATTCTATACATTTGATTAATTACCTGGATGAGAAGACAACTTCATAGATCTCTTAGTAAGAATAACACGTAGCTCGCCTTCATTGCCTTCAAAGAGGCAAATCAAGACAGCCGCTCTCTTCTTCCTCCAATTCACCAAGCAAAACTCATCACTTGTATTATCATCAAAGTGCTCTACTTCCATAGTATTCACTCTAGGTGGAGTAAGAAATTGGAGCTGCTCTGCAATTTTTTGTAGCGTTTGGCTGCCACAGAACATGCCCTTTTTGAAGCCAGCGTTTTCCATGCACGTAGAGGGCACAGTAATGCAAGCCATGTTAATCATAAATTGATTTTTGACAAGTGATCTTGTTCTGTGAGATCGATATATAGAGAACACAACAATATCTTGTTTAGGAGAATCATTCCCTTTCTTCTTGTTGGTTTTACATATTTTCCTACATTGAGCTGAGCCATGGATCGAAAAAAATTAAAGAAATTTATAGAACTTTTATTTATTAATTGTCAAATAAGGAACATATCCTCTAGCAACCCTTTAGCAACTGCATAGAAGAATCACTACGGGGCATATATACCCAAGTCGAACATATCTAGGGTAGAGCTTCGGTTATATATGCTACGCAATTGATTGTCTCTTATCACCATAAAGTTCTAAGATTGTGTTATTCTCATCGATATAAATGTCTATAGAAGCATGAAAGGTTATCTACAATGATGACAAAATATGACTGGTTATGTTATGAATACATGGCAAAATATATATCTATAGTAGAAATTAAAAAAAGAAAAGGAAAAAAAAGAATAGAATATTTAATAATATCTAGCTAGGATCAGCATAATTCATATTAGTGAACAATGGTGATGTATATAAGCATATTCTTTGGACCGGAATGGAAGAGAATAGAATATTAAAAGCATGAAAATGACCAAGCATCCAAAGAATGTTGTGATGCACTTCATGTTGTAAAAATTACTACAGATTTGAATGATATAACTTAATGTTAATCTAGATTAGTTGTTTATTCAGTTTAATATATATATATATATATATATATATATATATATATAAAAGCATGTAAATACCATAAATTTATAATCATGTATTATTATAAATATAAGATGAAACTAAAAATTTAAAACAAAACAAACATGCTTGAGTTAATTTGCATAAACAAAATTTAAACTAAATTGTTAAAAATAATTACTTATTAAAGCACTTAAATTTTGAAATAAATGAAGATATATTATTATTGATATTATCAATGGTCAATATTTTGTTTTTAAAACTTTATTTCTTGTCTCTTAGTGTAAATAAAATAATCACAATTAGCCTACTAGAACTTTAACAACATCATCATGTTTAGTTACACTATCAAATAAGATTCACAATTAGTTGATGTTATATTTTAGAAAATCTCTCCAAAATATAACAACAACATCTATATAAATATTTATTTTTAGTAAATTATTTAATTTTTTTTAAAATTCTCTCCCCCTCTCCCTTGTCTTCCACCAAGCGTACCCTAACCAAAGCTCATTTTCCCACAAAATCTACATCACCACCTTTTTTCTGTCTTGATGAACCCACATAATCACTAATAGAAATGTTAACATCGAGCCCCATCCTTACAGGATCGATTTGTAGAGAGCATACCCAAACATCAACCCCACTTATCCAAAATTAAAATGCCCCCCAATCATCCTCCCAACCTTTCTCTTTGCATCAAACCATAGTTCCCTCTTATCAAAGCCTTGTGCTGCCCACTAAAGGGTTTCCACACAAAAATATCATTGAAATTTAAGCATGCCTCCTAGTCATTGAGTTTTTTAGGCTTTTTTCCCTTTTTACCTTTCTAATGGTTTTTTCATCTTTTCTCATTAAAATTTTCACTTGCTCTCAGTGTGGGATATGATCTTAATTGAGATTTCTTATGAAAGAAAAATTATTCAGGCTAAAAAAAAGAACCACAAGGGATATACTGTTTTAGAGTGTGAAAGGAATAACAAAGATGACCTTTCCTTATTTCAAATGCAAGTAATTAAAATCAATAAACTGTAATCTTGTCCAATGTGATGATTTGGTCATTGCAAATAGATGAATTTCATGAGTCTATGAGCAATGAATTTAGTACATACCATTATTCATACATTTAAAACAATATGGCTCAAGAGTTATGGTGTAAGGATGACAATTCATTTTTTATTTGTGCATTTTGGTTTAAAGTTTAGTCATTTCAATAAAAGAGTTGTTTGATTCATACGTTATTGTACAAGTAGATTGTTAGAAATATCGTTTTAAATAAACATTAAATTATTTTTGAAATCAAAATGCAAGTTCAATTTTCAAAATTCCAATGGGGAAATGAATTTTAATAAAAGAGATGAATTGAGTCTATGAGATCACGCGAGGCTTCAAAATGTACTTATGAGTTCTTAGAGGGAATCCCTTTTAGAATAATTTGATTGTAAATCAAAGGAAGAAACACAATTAAAGGATATAACTCATTATTTCATTGAAATCTTAAAAAGTGTTGTTACCCAATTTTGACCCACCTTTTTGATAAAATTTTCTTAAAATTCAAAAATAACAGAAAACAAAAAAAATACTAAAAATATGTTTTTTAATATATTTGCATCATTTTTAACATTATCATCATTGTCTCAAAAGAATTTAAATTTTCAAAGATATTTGGAATGCATTTGACTTTTAACATATTATTTTTAAAATCAATAATTTTTCTTATTCAAGTTGATATTGATAAGAGAAATTCAAAAAAATAAGAAAAATCAAATTTATATAAAAAAGAAGAAGTTAAGGGACCAAGTTTGGAAACCTAACAATATTTTTACCTATAAATAGTAGTCTTCAACATACATAAAAGGGTGGGCAATTTTGCAAAATAGAGGGAAACCATAAAAAATCCTAAAAACCATAACTCTTTCTCCCCCGTCACCCAAGCAGCCGCTTACAACCCCTTTTCCAAAAAGAATCCAGAATCGACCACGCGCCGCTCATGTCATCAACACATAGTTCTCATTTCCAACTTCTTCTTTGAAACATATATTTTTTTAGATCTAGTTGAATGGGGTTGCTAGATGGGATTCAGGTAGCTTTGGTTAAAGGGAATCGTTAGATGAGATCTCAGGTTGACTGAGCTACACATATTCTTTGGTTCTAGTTAAAGGAGGTCGCCATATAGGATCTCAGGTGGCTTTGGTTAAAAAAAATTACCAAATAGAATTTTAGGTTGATTGAGCTACACATATTCTTTGGTTTTGATTAAAAGAGGTTCCTAGATGGGATCTCAGGTTAACAAAAAAAAAAAGAGAAAGAAAAGTAAAAGGAAAAAAAAACAGTAAGGTCTTTAGATGAGTGGATATTTAGTAAGTTGGGAACATAAGAAGACAAGTTTTCTTTACGAAGCTTACTATATAAAACATTAAGGAGTTTTGCTTCGTAAGCATTGTAAAGAGAGGGCATCTGTTGTTACCTGATTTTTAACCCACTTTTTTGATAAAATTTTTAAAAAATTCAAAAATAAAAAAAAAACAAAAAAATCCTAAAAATATAGTTTTTAATATATTTGCATCATTTTTAGCATTTTCAGCATTGTCTCAAAAGAATTTAAATTTTCAAAGATATTTGAAACACGTTTAACTTTGAACGTGTTATTTTTAAAATCAATGATCTTCCTCGTTGAAGTAGATATTGATAAGAAAAATTTTAAAAAATAAGAAAAATCAAATTTACAAAAAAGAAAGAAGTTGAAGGACCAAATTTGAGGACTAAACAATATTTTGCCTATAAATAGTAACCTTTAACACATACAAAGGAGAAGGCGGGAATTTTGAAACATTAGAAAAATACAAAAAGAAAACCCTAACCCTAAACCCATCTCTTTCAAAGGAGTGACGCCCCTTTCCCTTTCTTTTCATCTTCTCCAAGCTGCCGCCCCTTTCCATCACTGTTTCCTTTCTTCTCGCCAGCCCCCCTGGTGATTTTTCATTCTCCTTTAGTGCAAACACAACCGCCCCTCCTCACCAGAACTCTCCTCTCTCAACCAACCCATTGGTTTCCCAGCCGACCATAAGACATTCCTTACATAACAGCCTCACAACCCTCATTTCCATGGAGCCCCTTCACCTTTTCCCTTCCTCAAACCACAAAGCCTTTACGCTTCTTTTCTACCTTAATCGCCAGCCACACCTAAAGCCCCTACTCCCAGCACTTTACCTTTTCTTCTTGCTCTCTCGACCAGCCGCCACTCACCTTCTCCTGGCCAACCCAACTTCAACAGTGCCTATAGACTAACCTCCAGCAACACACCACAGAGTTGTCCCCCTGTCTTTATCGACCAGCTCTTCTTTGCACATAGTGGCCACCAACAGCTATGTAGTCATCGACAGAATCCCATTCGCCAGCTAGCTATCTGAAATAAAAAAGAAGGCGAAACCAAAATAAAAGCAGATCTAAAATGAAAATAAAAAGATCCGTGAACAAGAAAGAAAAAAAACTAAAATCAACTGCTTACTGTGTTTTTTCGGGTGTCCAGCATAGGGAGGCAGAGAAGAGAAAGATGTTCTCGATCCACCAGTTTTGTTGCCTTCATTGGCGGCAAAGTATGAACCCACGCGCCACAGTGGTGGTGGCACCGAGTTTCTTAATAGCCTTCAATTAAGTACTAGGTGGTAACTTTCAACGAAACCAAAAATTACCAACCGATGTCGTGTGGGTGATACCTAAAAAGCAACAAAGATCTTATTCGAGCAAGGTGACACATAAAAAGGCTAAACACTTAGAAATCATTGATTGAAATTTCTGGAATCTTTTAACTGTCCCTCTCTTGTGAATTCCTTGATAAAGATAACTTTCCAATAGTTAGTGAAGGTTACATATAGACTAGTCTTGGCCTAATGACATTCTAACTTCATCTTCAGGACGAGTGATCTTTAGATGTCTTTGTTTTGGTAGTTCTTTTTCTTATTTTTATAACCACCTTTGACATTATAAACCTCAGTTTCTTTCTTTTCTTTAGTGAAATGTTTCTCTTTAGTCGAGTCAGCAATCCTTCCTATATGGATAGCTTGTTTGATCCTCTCAGCTATAGCAACTAGGTTAAAAAAAAATAATATTGTGAAGAGCTTCCAACCAAGTATTCAAAGTATAGGGCCTTGTAAGTGTTGACAAACAAATTGATCATCTTCTTTTCCAACAAAGGAGGACCAACTCGTGTGGCTGTCTCACACCATATTTGAGTGTATTCTCTTATGGACTCTTTGTTCTTCTTCTTCATAGCTTGCAAACTTGACCTATTAGGGCCTATATCCATATTAAACTTCTATTGCCTAATAAAGGCATCAACTAAGTCCTTTTTTTTACCTAGATATTATCCAACCGCATATACCAAGTAAGGGCAACATCACTCAAACTGTCTTGAAAAAAATGAATCAATTGTTTCTCTTTATAAACTACTTCAGCCATTTT